GACACGCATCACCATTCTGTGCTCATTGTACTCACCCCATGCAATAGATACTACTGTTTACCCCATTTTATACCCAAGAGAGCAGACACTTGGAGAGGTGAGTAAAATTCCAAATTCTCACAGCTATTAAAAGGTGGCACAGGGGTTAGAAACAAACACCCCTACAGATCTAGCCAGACCCAGCTTAGGTCTATTATTTTACCCATCCTGGTTGGTCTCAGCTGGAGCAGACAGGATACTTGGGCTTCCAGGAAGTTTGGGGCTACCTCTGCCCTGGAAGAGGTTATAATCTGTGGGAAACCAGCCAGGAAGAATGAATCACAACCTAGGACACACTCCCAGGCCTTAGCCACTAGCCCTCCCTACCTGACCTTATCTATCCCAGCCCTTCTCATCCTGGTGCTCATTGGCCAATCTCTTGCCTCTTTCCTCCACCCCTCGGCTGAGAAAACTGTGGGTCTGTAATGTTCACAATTGTATCACCCATGCCTGGCTCAGCCCTTTGCATCTAATAAGTCTTCAGTAAATGCTTTGAATGAAAGAATAAATTTCTAAAACTATTTCCACCATACCTTCTACATTTTAAAATGCCTTACCCACAATGTGTACCTCATCTTATTTGGTTATACCACTTTCCCAGAGAAATCATCAGACACACACACAAAGATGTATAAATAAGGATGTCCACTGCAGTGCATTTACAATTGTGAAAACTGGAAATAATCCACATACTAGAGCACTGTGCAATTAGTAAGTGTCAAGTTCTCCAAGACTGATGACACAGGGAAATGCTTATCATAGGGCATGAAGTGAAAAAAAAAAAACCTGGTCCCAAAGCTCCACATATGGTTCCGATTGTCTTTTAAGTACTACTGATACATATGGAAAAAGCCCGGCAGCATGGTCACTACAATGTTAACAGCGGTGATTCTTGGGTGGTAATATGACCAGTGATTTTAATTTTCTTTACTATGCTTTTCTGATTCTCCCAAATTTTCTACAATAAATAGGTGCTACCACTGTAACTGGAAAAGGAATGTTTGGTTTAAATGTGTCCAAACAAGCTAAGGAGAAGGGGAAAGAACAGAGGTCTGAGAGTACATACTTGGTTCCAGGACACTCACAGATATCACCTCACCTGACCATCCTATTAGCCCTCTCGATTCTCTATTCCCATCTGATAGATCGGAAAACGGGTGCAGGACTTCCCTGGTGGTGCAGTGGTTGAGAATCCGCCTGCCAATGCAGGGGACACGGGTTCGATCCCTAGTCCGGGAAGATCCCACATGCCGCGGAGCAACTAAGCCCGTGCGCCACACACAACTACTGAGCCTGTGCTCTAGAGCCCGCGAGCCACAACGACTGAAGCCCGCGCACCTAGAGTCCGTGCTCCACAACAAGAGAAGCCACCGCAATGTGAAGCCCGTGCACCCCAATGAAGAGTAGCTCCTGCTCTCCACAGCTAGAGAAAGCCCACGTGCAGCAATGAAGACTCAATGCAGCCAAAAATAAATAAATTTTTTAAAAAACAAAAAACAACCCACAATAAGCTATAATTTTGATCTTAGAGTCTCTAGGTCTGCGGTCTGGCCCGCTGGCCATGTGCACAACACACAGTGAAGAGCAGGCAAGATTCTGCCTGTTGGTGCAGCACTGGACAACTGTTGTCTCAACCAATGTTCACAGGGATCCCATGAGGTGGTCAGGGCTGGGATGATGCCCTAATCACCTCATTGTTATAGAGAAGAGAGACTTGTAACTTTGAGAGGGGAAGTGAGATCTGGTCAAGTTCGCAATGAATGAGGTGTGGCTGTGCAATCTGCTCCTGCCCTCCTTCCCCAGCCCTTCCTTATGGCTCACACATCCCTACCCTCCCTCTCCGCCAGAAACAGCAAAATCCAGGAGGCCACTGATGCCAGTGAGACCAAAGAGTAAACTCCAGAGCAGTGAAATCAATTCAGCTTTAAAGACGGCACGTAATTGAGACAGGAGGTGCCTGAATGGGGGCACAGTCTTTCCCAAGTTGACCTGAGTGGGCTGCGGGGAAACTGGAGCTTCACCTGAGACAGGCAGACTCCAACAGCTCCTCTTACCTACCTGAGTTCCCAGTTCTCCAGCACCCAGAGAAAATTGCCAAAGACAGGATATAGGAAGGAAAGAATTGGATCAACTTTTATCTGGTCGTTAAAGAGGCAATACTTTAATTCTTTCAAAAGGAGTAGGCAGTAAAGAGTGTCCCTCCCACCCCCATTCCGCACCCTCCCCCACCCTTCGGGGCTCCCAGTCTCCACCCTGGAGGGAAACACTCTCCCCAGCTTCTCTTAAGTCACTGTGAAGAGAGTCTCGCATATATACACAAATGACAATCAAATTTAAAATCCACTTCCTCCCCTCTCCTGGTGATTTTAGACATGCTGAATAAGGGACTCAGCAGCCCTGGGTTTTCATTCTTGCTCAGTTGCTCACAGTACAGCCTAACTCAACTTCTCTGAGCCTTGCTTTCCTCATCTGTAAAGTGGGGTTGCTGTGCGGATGAAACTGGATTCAAAACTAAGTAATCCCAACATTTTTAGCACTATAAATAAACATGGAAATGTCTTCTGGGTCACAGTGAGGGGGAAGTAGGTCAATGAAGTAGACACATTTGGGCCCATCCCCAGGCCCTGAAAGTGTTGCAACTCCCCCAGGAGAAGAGTGGTTGGCTCTTCTGGGAGATGAACAGAGACTGCAGTCCTCACTCTGAAGCTAGTCTTTGTCTTCTTGGTCTAAGGATGACATTTCTGGTTCGGAGACCTGGGACCTTGACAAGGTTGCATGCCCTGTCACATGCCAGTCTTGGGCGCCACCCCCTACATGCTTATTATGATGCCCTGCCCCCCTGCCCTAGGGTCAGATTTCTATTAAGGGCCCCTTCCAGCTCTTGGGTCAGGGAGGAGCATCTAGGCAGTGTTGGGAAGTCACTGACTGACCTTGGCCCAGCGACCAGTTGTCCCTTGATCTCCACAACTCTACTTGGGGACCTGAGGGGTTCAGGGCCTGGAAGAGGGAAACCAAGACAGCCACACAGATATAGGGGAGCCTGGCAGACAAGATGGTACATTCCTTCACAAGGTCAGCCAACAACAGGGCCTGAAATAGTCTCCTCTGGTAGAGGTCAGACCAGCAGACACTTCACAAATGGCCCTTCAACTCTGGTTGGGTACAAGCCCCTGGGTGGGATCAGTTGTCTGTCCTTCTATCCACTCATCTGTTTGTCTTCCCAAAACTGCCTGCTGCGGCCTAGCCAGAGACAAGCCCTATCCTTGGCATAAGGCCACATCCTCAGATGAGTCGGATTGGGCCGGCTGGAGCCCGTGGGTGGAAGACAGAGGACGTCCCAGGTGGAGGGCACAGCAAGGACCAGGCCTTGTGGGTGGGAAAATGTTGGGCCAAGGCAGATACTGAGATTGAGTGCAGGGTGGAGGCCCTGAGCTCCCAGCAGGTGTGCCAAAGGTCATGGAGAGGCAAGGAAAGGAGGGACAAACAGCGGGCTGTAGAGGAATAGGCAAAGAGACCCAGACAGAGGAGGAAGCCAGGAAGAGAAGGAGAGGGTGGAGGCAAGGCCTCAGACTTAGTTCCATGGGAAAGCCAGCTGGTGTCTGTGGGTCTGTCTGTCTTAATGACCAGTGGTTAAAGCCCAAACTCCCCACTCCCCCTTTGAGGCTCCGGTTCTGCCTGAGGCCTCCTCCTAGCCCAGGGCTCCCAGATCCCAACCACAGGACCCCTTTGCCCCCAGCACCAAGGGGAAGTAGTAAAGAGCACAAGAGCCTAGGAGTGAGACAAACTAAGAGTAAATCCCTCACTCTCTGGCTAGATGACCTCGGGCAAGTCACTTCACCCCTCTGGGCCTCAGTCTCCTGTTCTGTGAAATAGGGCTAATGCAAGGACCACCCATTGTTGTAGGGAAGCTGAGAGGGTTAGATGACAGGAAGGACCCAAAGCTTGGCCCAGAACTTGCCAGTGTCTGGCAAACAGGGGAAGCTCCAGTTCTGGACACCTGATGGTCAGTGCAATCTGCAGTTTAAAAGGGTCCCAGTCCAAGAGGACTCAGGGCCCAGAGCCCAGGTCTCTGGTGGTGGGATTTACTGCCCAGTGACAAGCCTGGGGAATAGATGGGATGTGGAGAAACAGAGGCCGCCCTCAGCATTAGCCGTTTCTCCTGCCCCAGAGCCTGTACACGGGCTGGAGGTAAGGAGGGAGAGTGCTCCGACCAGGGCCAGGGTGGGGATGGGGCTGGGGTTTAGGTCCCCTTGACCGCCCCCCACCCACCCCCCGCATCTCGCATCTCAACTCGGGGCTCAACTGGCCTGAGGGCGGGTGGGCGAGGGCGGGGCAGGGCCGGCCCCTCTCGCCCTGCTGGGGGGGGGGGTGGGGGGCGGGTCGCCTGGGAACTGCTCCTCCCGCCTGCCGCCGCTTTAAGAGGCTGCTCCGCGGCAGCGAGCGGGGCCGGAGCCGCAGTCCGAGCGAGCAGAACTGAGCCGAGCCGGCAGGTGCACGGCTGCGGGGACGGCAACAGCATGACCGGCCACCACGGCTGGGGCTACGGCCACAACGACGGTAGGCGCAGACCCCGGCCGGCCCCCACCCGTTGGGACTCGCTCCTGACCCTCGCGCCCAGCCGGGTTTGCGGGACCCTCAAGCCCCCTATCCTCTAGGCGGGACCGGGATCCCTCTCCCATCCGTCCCCCAGAACCCGGCCCACCCGCCCGGCCCGAGCCTTGTCTCCCCCCGCACCTGGCGCAAAGTCCGCGCTGCACCCCGGCCGGCCCCGCCGCCGGCGAGCCACCCCGCGGCCGAACGCGTCCAGCCGCCTCTTCCGCGCAGCCCCTGACGGCCCCGCACGCTCTGACCCGGGCCGGGACACTCACTCATCGCCGGAGTGCGCAGCGGGTGAAGGTAGCCCAGGGCAGCGGGGGGCGGTCCCGGCGGAGCGCTGTGCGCGGTGTCTGTGCGGGGAGCGCGCACGCGTGTGTGCCGGGACCTCCGGCGAGCTGGGCTCCCCGTGGGCAAGGGCGCGGTGTCCTGCGCAGAGAGTTTCCCGGTCGAAGCGTCCGAGCTTTCGAGTCGGCAGGTATGTGAAGGAAGGGAGCATCTGGGGGCTCACGGATGTGTCTGGGTGTCTGCCTCGGGCAGGGTGTTTGAGCACGTCCAGGTGTGAGGCATGGGAGCCCGTGGCCCACACCAGCCTCCTGGTCTGACCGGGAGAATAGCTCCTCGGTCCTGCCTCAGTTTACTTAAGATGCAGAGGAAGGGAGAAGAGGCAGACGGTGAGAGCCAGAAGGCTCGAGTGTGAGACTGGGGCAAGTCAGTTCCTTTCGGGCTATTTCTTACCAAACTGGGGTCGGGGTGTGGGATAAGGGTTTCTTGCTTTTCCCGAGATGAACAATGAGGAGCCAAGATCCAGGCTGCCAGGATGAAACCCAGGCAAGGCAGGTGGGGGTGGGGAGAAGCGGAAGTGCTGGTGGGAGGAACGCCCCCGTCCCACTCATCTGAGGAGAGACAGGCACTCTGTGAGGGTGGGCGGGGGTCCTAGGCTACAAAGTCTGGGGGTTTGGAGGTTACAATGGGCCAGAAGGAGTTAGGGAGGTGCTGTGGTGTCTCTGGCCCCTCTGGGACCCCAAGCACACAGGAGAATATTCTGGAGGGGAGAACCCCAAATCTAGACATGCAAAAGCTAGAAAGAGACTTTCAGAAAAAGGCAACAGAGATCAGCAGAGGTGTAGAGAGAGGCAGAGAAGGGGCAGGTTGACACGACCCATAGAAGATCCTCTTCCCCCCCAGCACCTGCTCCCAGCCAGCTTCAGGGTGCTTCCCCCTGACTCCAGCCTTCTTGCTGGTCCTGCCCACCAGCACTGCATCCAGTATCCCAATAGGCCTGCCCCATAGCTGGCCACCCTGAAGCTGCTGCCCCTCGCCCAGTCCTGGGCCATCCAGTCTAGTTGCGATGAGGGAGGAAAAGACAGAGGATGAAGGTGCCGGCATGCAGCATGCTCACAGGACTTCAAAAATAACCCAGTGGGTCTGGGCCATGATTCTGAGTCATCCACTGGGGACACAGTTTTGTCGGCACCTGCTGCTGTTTTCTCAGGAAAACTTAAGAAGCCAAAAACAGGGAGAAGCACCAGCCGGCAATAGCTCTAAAAATAGGCTGCATCTCAGGATGTTCCCCGGGGAGATGCCGAGCCTCTCGGCTGCAGATGGAGTCTCTGGGAGGCAGGTGGTGGGTGCTCGTGGGTGTGCATGCAGGTGTGTGTGCGTGTGTGTGCGTGTGTGTATGTGTGTGCACGAGCATGTGTTTTGCTGTAGTCTCTTAGTGCAGACCTGGGTTTGCAACAGGGGATAGCTGTGAGGGTGCATATGTGTGTGTCAGAGGTAGTTGGCAGGGCTATGTGTTTGTACACATGTGTTACTGGGCCTGATGGCTCTGGGTGCGGTGAGCTCAGGTCACTGTGCATATATGTGTGCACACGTGAAAGTCTCCCCGGACCTGCACATGTCTGGGGAGGGCAGCTGGGGGCAATGCATGCACACACTGTGTACTTATACCAGTGCCCAAGTGTGTGCGCGCACATGCGCCAGTGGCCCTCAGTTCCTTCATCTGTGAAATGGGGATCATGCTCGTTTCTACTTCACGAGGCTGGTATGAGGAGCAAATTCATGTCACAGAGCCAAAGCGAGGTTGATGTGAACTTTTGTTGTCATTTTCACAAACACCAACTCGAACTTGGCCAAAGTGCAGGAAGAGGCCAGATACCTGGTAGGGTCAGGTAAGGGAGTTCGGGAGCCCGGGGACCTCTCTAAGCAATACTGCCTGTCGGGGAGGACCCACTACCCCAAACTGCCCCTGAGCCTGTAGCTTTTTTGTGCTGCCTTCCATGCATTACCTCTCTGGGCCTCCTATCAGCTCTGGGTGGAGAGTTTTAGTGAGGCCATTTCGCAGACAAGGAAATGGAGGCTGAGAGGGGAAGTGGCAGAGCTGGGATTGGAGCTCCAGACTTCATGGCTCCAAAGCAGGGGCTAATCTCTGAAAGGACAGCACGGAGACCATCCCCTACAGGTGCCCTCAGTCTGCAGCCCAGAGATTCAGGTTGGCCTGAGTCCTTGCCCTCTCCCCATCTGCAGGCCCCTCACACTGGCACAAGCTGTATCCCATTGCCCGGGGAGACCGCCAGTCACCAATCAATATCGTATCCAGAAAGGCTGTGTACTCGCCCAGCCTGAGGACATTGGATCTTTCCTATGAGTCCTGCACGTCCCTCAGCATCGCCAACAATGGCCACTCTGTCCAAGTGGACTTCAATGACAGTGATGACCGAAGTGGTAAGTGGCCCTTATGGTGATGTTTGCCGGACCCTGGTACCCTTCCCCCTGGGATCCTAACCTGTTTCGGGCAGGCTCAGGAGGGGCAACGTGCTGTGGTAGGGAAGGAAGGCTGCACTTCTCCCCAGCTGTGAAGCCTTAGGCTGAGCCTCAGTCTCCTGATGCATAGGGTGGGAGCATTAGGACCCTATTTTCCTCCCTAGGATCATAGAGAGGAGAAACGAAAAACTGAAGTGATGTTTGTCGTGCTGGCATATAGCAGATGCTCAAGAAATGCTAATTCTCTTTCTTCTCTTTCAGTTGTGCTTTAGGTCAGGTTTGTTTTCACTCCCTGCCCCATCACTGAGCTGCTGTGTGGCCTAAGGCCAAACCCTCCTCTCTGTGTGATCTGGCCAAGCCCAGCAGAGAGAGAACGGAAATAAAATGTTCAGTGTGCCAGGCCCCTTGCCAAGGTCACAGGCAGTTCTTTTATTCTTCTCAAGAACCTACCTCTAAGTTGGGCAAGTAGAGACTCACTGAGCTGGGGAGGGCCAGAACCAGCCTGCTCCCACTCCGAAGGTCTTTTCTCCAACCCACCTACAGCTTCAAGATCCCAACCGTCCTGGACAAAAGAGAGGCCAGTGGGAACTTGTAGCAGCTCCTTCCAAGGTCTCTTTGCCCTGGGATTAGAGTTCGGGTTCCTTCATGATAAATTCTTGGACGGAAGCCTCGGGAGTGCTCCTTAGTAAAGGGATTTTTGTCCTTATGACCAGGCCTGTGAGGGATGAAGTGGGGTAAGGAGGGAACCTGCTAAAGTTTCTTATGTAAGGAAGTGACTGGTACTTTGCCCCTCTGTCGCCTCCCCCAACCCCCCCATACGCACAATGAAAGCACTCAGCGAAACTTAAGTTTCAAATAGAAAATCAAAGGGCAGAGAAGGGGAGGAAAGCCAGATAGGAATGATCTTAGTTGCTTAACTCTGAGTTCCCTGGTAGGCTAGGGAAAAGGGGAAAGAGGATCAGTTATAGTTCTTGTTGCAGAAGGTAGGAAATCCAACAGATCCTCAGAAGAGAGACACAGCATTCTTGGTACTGAATTCTAAGAAAAGCCTCCCACCCAGAACTTTGGGGAGGGACATGGAGCTCTTGATGACCTTAGATCACAGTTTATGAAGGAGCAGTTTTCAAATGGTTGGATCTTCTAAACAGCCTTCAGAGGGCACTGAGGGCTCAATTCAGACATCAATAGCTCAGTGAAGGCCACTCTTGGCAGGCGAAGGCCCAAGGAAACATTCCTCTGGACCACTGATCCAGGGGCTCACTTTCTGACTTGGTTTGGGTTCCGTCCCCTATCAGAATGCCCAGGCCTGAGGGGTAGGGGACCAGTGGGAAGAAAGTAGGCTTGGGAGTGAGACAGTTGGGTCTCTGCCACTCCCCAGCTGTGTGACCTTGGGCAGGATACCTACCTTTCTGAGCCTCAGTCCCACGTCTGGCCAAGGGGGTAACAGGTAACAATGTGTCCCCCTCTAGGTCACTGTGGGGATTAATGTCTGCAGACTGCTGAACACATAGGAAGTACACAGTGAATGGCAGTGTGTTCTATGGTCAGGATGGAGAGAGGAGGCTAAGGGAGCCAAGCTCAAGGTTTAGGGAGGCAGTTCACTCCCTAAGAGACTGCACTGTGGAGTCCCAGGTGGGTCATGCTCAGAAGAGTGGGCCCTCCCAGCCCATAGCAGAGAGCTCAGCCTGCAGGTCTGTCTACTCCTGCCTCCCCAGGATGGAGCAGCCTGACTGGGCCTGTGGGCCCTGGCCCACAGCCATCACCCCCAGGCTCAGTCAACCACCCAGCATTGCCATGGACAGGCCCCGCTTCTCAGATGAGGCAGGACAGCAAGAATGGGCCTCTGGGCTGTCCCATGGTCCTCCTCCTTGAAGGGCCCACGGGGGGCAAGGCCCTGCCCTGGTCACCCGTCCTCCAGGGGCCTAGTGGAACTCTGAGCCCAGGGCCGTCACCTGATCCAGGAGCTCACATTCTGCCCTGGCTGGGGCTCCCTCCACTGCCAGATCTCTTTCAGCTGGAAATTCAATCAGTCCCAGGAGGCCTTGTGAGTGGCCCCAGCTCGCCAGGTATCAGAGTGGGAAATTCACAAAACCAGCATAAGTGGGGCTTGCCAAAGAGGGCATGAAGGAGGGACATTGGAGGTACCTGGGCCTGACCATCAGAGTGGGGACCCTTAGGAGCTGGCCTCTAGACATCAGGTCCTGGGGATCCTCCAGGTTCTGGGGAGGCAGCACGACCTGGTGATTAGGGCCTTGGGCTCTGAACTTATATGAAGTAGATGCAGGCTTATATCCTAGCTCAGTGCCTTGCTGTGTGACCTTGGGCAAATGCCTTGCCCTCTCTGTGCCTCAGTTCCTCCTTTATAAAATAGAAATAATAATAGGTTTTGTCTTTCATAAGCTACTATGAGGACTAAAGAAAAGAATTTTTCCGACCCAGTTCTGGGTCAGGGCTCCAGACCTGGGAGGTCTATTGTTAGTGATAATCGGGGCCTGAGAGGCAAAGTCCCAGCTTCCACTCGAAACTGGGCAAGAGTGGGGAGGATCCAGATGGAGAGATATACCCACTCAGTGTACCAGACTCCTCTGTCACCTACAGGGCTCCAGGATTTCTGCCCTGGCCCAGCTAAGGGCATAGGGAACTGGGCGGGGACTGATCCAAGTCCACTTAGAGCAAGGAATGTTGCAAATGAAAAGTTTATCCCTCTCCTGAGCACTGCCCTGATATTGGCGCTGCTGTCTGCGGGCGGTGTGGGCTCTCTCACAGCAATTGCTACACACCGCCCTTCTCCCCTGCAGTGGTGACTGGGGGCCCCCTGGATGGGCCCTACCGGCTCAGGCAGCTCCATTTCCACTGGGGCAAGAAGCACAGTGAGGGCTCAGAGCACACGGTGGACGGCAAGTCATTCCCCAGCGAAGTAAGACCCTCCTCTACCTGAATCCCTTTACCACTTGGGGAAGAGTTGGGGACTGGGGAGCCAGGGTCTTGACAGTTGCCTGGTGTGGGGTACTGGAGAGAGTGAAGTCACTCGGGGACCTTTGGGAGAGACGCCCTTCACCTGAAGTTCAGGTCTTCCACCTGAACTCTGCCTACTGTCGTCCTGATCTGTGTGTCCAGAAGGAATTTTATGACGGACAAATCCAGTCCCACCACAGCCTTACTAACAACCCTTCAAGGATTAAGCCTGGCATTCAAGGCCCTGCATGAACTGGCCTTGCCTGGCCTCATCTCCCTTGACCTCTTCCCATACTGACCTGCATGTGATGAATCCCCTGCCCACACCTGGCTCTTTCGTATCTCCAGGCTGCTGTTCTTTCAGCCTGGAATACCTTGTCCCAAGAGTTCCATCTGATAACCCCCTTCTTATTCTTTGGACTCAGCTGCAGGCTTCACTTCCTCAGGGAGGTGTCACACTGGATAGTCATTATCTGTTTCACAGTTCACGGAGGGCAGGGCCTGATCTCTTTGGTCCCTTGGGGCTCAGAAAAGGGTCAGGCCCAGAACAGGGTAAATGCTATCTGTGGCCCGCCCCTCCCGCAGAGGGGCCAGGAGTCCGGTGGGAGTGAGGGAAGCCTGGCTCTGAGCTCCCATGGCCCCTGGGAGGCACTAAGCACTGGCCTGGCCTGTCGTTGCCCCTGTAGCTGCACCTGGTTCATTGGAATGCCAAGAAGTACAGCACCTTTGGGGAGGCGGCCTCAGCACCCGATGGCCTGGCTGTGGTTGGTGTCTTCCTGGAGGTGAGGGGGTTACCTGGGCCCAGAAGGCCGTGGGAGGCCTGGTACCACCCCTAGTTCCAGAACACAGTGAGATCTGGCCTCACACTACTTCTCCCTGACAGACGGGGGACGAGCACCCCAGCATGAACCGTCTGACAGATGCACTCTACATGGTTCGGTTTAAGGTGAGACCAGGGGTCCATGCTCTTGATCTACGCAGCCTGGTGGGGAGGAAGGAAGAGGCTAGATCATGGAGTGGGCCCATCCACTCCTCCATCCTGGCAGCAAACCCTGGCAGAGGTGAAGGGTGCAGGTCAGCACCTGTGGTGCCCTGCAACTGACTCCTCGTCATCAGGGTCCATGGCCCCACTGAATGCCCAGCGTGAAGTCTGGTTGGGCATAGGATTGATAAGATGCCTGTCACATTAATGGTTCTCTGACCAGCAGCGCCATTAAGTTCTGTTGAAGGCAAGGGAGAGAACATGGTGCCCAAAGAGCTTCAGGAACCACAGCTTTTACATACAAGGGAATGGGTGGAGAGGGCCAGCCAGGCTGGAATATAGCCTCTGGGATCACAGACATCTGGCCACAATTTGCATCAATGGGCCAAGGAGAAGCCTAAATCCTATTGACAGAAATGGGTGGGGAGGGTGTTGGTCTCATCCTGTTGGGAGGTCTTTGCTGACTCCTGGGTCCCCCACCCTGCCCCAGGGCACCAAGGCCCAGTTCAGCTGCTTCAACCCCAAGTACCTCCTGCCTGCCAGCCGGCACTACTGGACCTACCCTGGCTCCCTGACAACACCCCCACTGACCGAGAGTGTCACCTGGATTGTGCTCCGGGAGCCCATCAGCATCTCCGAGAGGCAGGTGAGCCCTCCCAGAGTACCAGACGGAAGGATGCGACACTCAGGCACACCCGGGCAGTGTGACTCTCCCAACCAGCAGCCCACAGCCTGTGGTCCCACCATCCAGGCTCCCATCTTTTGCTAATAAATGTTTCGATTCTTGGGTGGGAGTCAGCTTGGTTGTTAGTTATTAGGACCTGGACACAGACTAGAAGGCGAGATCCCTGGATCCTGGGACCACCCCTAGTGTGTTAGAATCTGAATGCTGCATTTGCTGATGATTCTTAGCTAGACAGGAACTGGAACTAGGTGGAGCAGGGTCCAGGTTCAGAGGCTTTTTAGTGAGTAAGTAACTGAGGTTGGGTTCCCAAAGAAGAAATGAGTGGGGAGAAGTAGGGACAAGCCCTAGGGGGAAGAGGAGAGAGGGGCAGAACTGGCTGGGCAGGGTATGCCAGATGTTGTGTCTGGGATCAGAGAGGACCACAGCGCCCCCATTCTGCACTGAGTATCTCTTCTGCCTTAAGATGGAGAAATTCCGGAGCCTGCTTTTCACCACAGAGGAGGATGAGAGGATCCACATGGTGAACAACTTCCGGCCACCACAGCCACTGAAGGGCCGTGTGGTCAAGGCCTCCTTCTGGGCCTGAGCTGCCTACCTGCCCAGCCGGACACTGAAGCACCATCTTCCCAAGGGCTTCCATGTCAGCAGACACCAAACCATCCAAGGCTCCCTGCCTAGGGCTGCTGTGGACCCCACTTCAGCTGGCTTGCTCCTTGGCCACCTGGAGGCTTCTCGATGGGACCCTCAAGTCGGGGGACACCTTCCAGATGCCCTGGGGACAGGAAGGACAGGAGCTGAGCATGGTCCGAGCCTAAGGCTGCCTCTGCTCTCCAACACCCAAAGGCCCCTGGGAACCTCCTCTTGTCTTCCCCGCTGGCAATGGCAGCAGCCCCACCCTGAGCTCACACTGTGATGGATGAGACCAAACTCTCCAGGGCAGGCAGCTGGCATTGCCAGAAAGACTCAAGCAATAATTAGAAGTGGGCAGAGCTGCCCTCTCGGTGTTACCTCTTCTGCAGGCCTCCGCCATGCACGCACCTCACTGCCAGGCCATTAAAATCAGGACCCAGCCTGCTGGAGGTGACATGACCTTCTCCCTCCAGCCACCTGCCGCCATAGGCAGGCACTGGCTACAGCTTACGGAGTATCTCCCTTCATCCCCACCCAGCCACCAAAGCCACCTACATGACAGTCCATCCATGCACTGATTAATAAATTCATGCATTCATGCAACAAATACCCGTTGAGTGCCTGTGTTCTGTCAAGTGCTGTTCCAGGCATCGGGGAGGCCGTGGTGATGAGTCAAGCACAGGATGTTGAAAGGGCCGTGGGCACCGAACAGGTGAGGGTGATACAGATGGCGGGGCAGGGGCCGTGGGGGCAGAGAAAAGGGGGAGCCTACTTCCCCCACCCTGAGCTCACACTGTGATGTCCTCATCTGGTGAAGAAATTAAATTCCAACCGGTATTCCAAGGCAGAGAGAAGGGAACAGCATGTTTGAGCTCAGGGAAGAGCAGGTGTGCCGGCTCCCAGGTGAGAACCCAGGGTGTCTGTGGAACAGAGAAGAACGAGTGGGGCTGGAGCCCTGGGGGAGGGCCTGGGACTCTCTCCCAAGGCTAATGAGAGTCAGGAAGGATCTGGAGTAGGGGGGGGCAGGGGCAGATGTGCAAAGGCTGGGAGATCCCTGTAGAGTGTGAGTTGGCAGGTAGGACTGGCAGCAAGAGAAGGTGGTGGCCAGTGGCCAGGAGAAAGAATACAGGGTGGTGGAGGCCGGGAGAAGGGGGCTGGATGAGAGAGACCTAGGAGGTGGAGCCCAAAGATAGCATTTGGCTCTCTGTGAGGGTGGAGGGGAGTGCAGGGTGTGTCCCTGGGCGGAGACAGAGGACAGGAAAGCCTGGGCAGCAGCAGACCAGGATGGACACACAGCTTTTGTGGGGCCCTGAGAGGAGTGCTAGGAAGCTCTGGGGTGTTGGTGTCTGAGCCGAGGAGAGAGGTGGAGGGTAGAGGGGGCTGCTTTGGAGCATCTTCACTCAAGGTGGTGGGTGAGGCCGAGGGGAGGGAGGGGGAGGGTGCTCAGCGAGAGAAGGGACCAGGGTCTAGCACAGAACCAGCGCACGACCCTGCGGAGGATCTGCTCAGAGGGAAAGCCGCAGAGTGGCATCTGAGATACCTAGGTATCTAGGGGCACTGGGGGCTGCTGAGGAGTCTGAGGCAGGGCTGGGGCTGGGGTGAGGCAAGTGATCTCTTAGGGTGCAAAATTTAAGGAGGTACACACCCTCAGGCCCCGACCCTGCATTTGTATGATGCTGAGGGTGCGTGTCTCCTTAAATGTGCACCGTAAGTGCCTCGCTGGACTCACCCTAGTCCCAGCCCAAGTCCAGAAGGTTTAGAGACCCAGCCATCACTGTGCCCCATGAGCCAGGACAGGGGCAGGTGGTGGAGAGTGAGGGGGCTGAGGAGTGAGGGGAAGTAAAACCGGGACAGCAAATGTATACGTGTGGTTGTGAAGGGGAAGAAAGTGATAGCTGAGGGGGCACAGGGTCGAGGCTTTTGGAAAGATGGGCCGGTGGTGTGTCTGAACATCCTTGGGAAGGAGGCCAAGCTGCAGGTACCAGCGGGGCTAGGGGCGCGTCGGTCTACTCACTTTGGCCACAGCTCCTGTCATTGTCACTATACCAGAAGGGCACTCCAGGGTCATGGGACACTTCCGGGTTTGGGGTGAGGCCACGAGGAGAGAGTAGAATTAGGCCTTAGACTTCTAGCTTCGAGACCAGGGAGGCAGGCAAGGGAGAGGCTTGCTCTGTTGACTCCCCCCTTCCATTCTCATGCTCAGGGCAAACCTGTCCCCAGAGTGGCCCTCAGCAAATGCTGCTCCAGCACAGGGCCAGACACAGTTTCAGCCCGGCTGGCACCCCTGGCCCAATCTGGGGGCCATTTGCTCTCTCCATGTTTCAGGAGATGGTGAAAAGAATAGTGTCTGGAGGACAGTGTTTGCCCAGCCTGGGGGCAGGTGGCCGCAGGGAAGTAACGCTAGTAATGCTGCCCCTGAAGGCAGGTAAAGGGCCTGGGGCAGATGTCTGACTCCCCCTATGATCTAAGAACTGTCATCACCCCCATGTTACAGATGAGGAAGATGAGGCTGGGGGAGGTTAAATAGGCAAGTGGCCAAGCAAAATTTGAAGCTGGATCTGTCTGCTAACTCTCCTGCTCTACGCCAGAGCACTGAGCATAGTGGTGAACAAATAGGCCTAATACGACTGGCCCTGCCGGGGATCTTAGCACCCCACCGCCACCTCCCAGGGATGGTGACGCCACAGTCCTGGCGCTGCAGAGGACTTGAGAAATGGGAGCTGATTTTAAAATAATTATCCCAAGGCCGCCAAGATTCCTCATTCCTTACATCCTTCCACTTAATTCATTTATTTTTTTTTTAATTTTTATTTAGTTATTATCTTTGACTGCGTTGGGTCTTCATTGCTACGCATGGGCTTTCTCTAGTTGCAGCGAGTGGGGGCCACTCTTCGCTGCAGTGTGCGGGCCTCTCGTTGCGGTGGCTTCTCTTGTTGTGGAGCACGGGCCCAGGTACGTGGGCTTCATTAGTTGTGGCACATGGGCTCAGTAGTTGTGGCTCACGGGCTCTAGAGTGCAGGCTCAGTAGTTATGGCTCACGGGCTTAGTTGCTTCGCGGCATGTGGGATCTTCCCGGGCCAGGACTCGAACCCGTGTCCCCTGCATTGGCAGGCAGATTCTTAACCATTGCGCCACCAGGGAAGCCCCATTTTTTAAATTTAAAACTGTTTGAAACCAAAGTGGCCTCCTTCTGTTATAATTACAGTGCAAGGTTTGACCCTATTACATCCAATAGGGATGGCCAACCTCAAGGGACATAGGACTGGGTCCTGAATCCTCATCCATGGCAAGATTGCTTCCTGGAGCAAATGCTGGGCACATTTGGGGTACCCAAGACAAGCTCTGCTCGCTCCCAAGATCCCAGAGAGGCCCTCCCAGGGCAGCCAGGTGACCCTCTAAGAGATCTGGACTGGAGGGCCCAGGGGAAGGAGTGGCGGAGGAAAGTAATAGATGTGGGAGATCAAGAGGTACAAAGTTCCACATGCAAAATAAATGAGTCACAGGTACGAGATGTACAATGTGAAGAACATAGTCAAGAATTATGTAATATCTTTGTATGGTGACAGATTGTAACTAGACTTAGAGCAGTGATCATTTTGAAATGTATCGTGATATCGAATCACTATGTTGTGTGCCAGAAACTAACATAGTGATGTAGGTCAATCATACTTCAAAAACAAACTCATAGAAAAAGAAATCAAATTTGTAGTTACCAGAGGTGGGGGTGTGTGGATAGGGGGGATTGGATGAAGGCAGTCAAAAGGCACAAAACAGTTATAAGATAAATTAGTACTAGGGATGTAATGTACAACATGATAAATATAATGGACACTACTGTAAGTTATACATGATAGCTGTTAAGGGGTAAATCCTAAGAGTTCTCGTCACAAGGAAAATTTTTCTATTTCTTTAATTTTTTATCCATATGAGATGATGGATGTTCACTAAACTGATTGTGACAGTCATTTCATGATGTATATAAGTCAAATCATTATGCTGTACCCCTTAAATTTATACAGTGATGTATGTCAATTATATCTCAATAAAACTGGAAGAAAAAAACAAAAATAAAATTTAAAAATAATAAAAATCTTATATAAAAGAAAAAAGTATATTTCATTTGAAGAATATATTTTAGTTGACTCAGTTATATCCAAAATATCTTACCATTTTAACATATCATCAATATGAAAAATTAATGAGATATTTTACATTATTTGGGGGACTAAATTTCTTTTAAAATTAATTAATTAATTTACTTTTGGCTGCCTTGGGTCTTCGTTGGGTTGCGCGGGCTTCTCATTGCAGTGGCTTCTCTTGCTGCGGAGCACGGGCTCTAGGCTCGAGGGCTTTAGTAGTTGTGGCTCTCAGGCTCTAGAGCACAGGCTCAGTTGTAGCACATGGGCTTAGTTGCTCCCTGGCATGTGGGATCTTCCCGGACCAGGGCTCAAACCCATGTCCCCCGCATTGGCAGGCAGATTCTTAACCACTGAGCCACCCGGGAAGCCCTGGGGACTAAATTTTTGAAATCCAGTGAGTATTTCACACTCACTGCACATCTCAACTCAAATTAGCCACATTTCAAGTGCCCAAGAACACATGTGGCCAATGGCTACCAGATTGGATAGCATAGCCCAAAACAGATGTCACTCTTTGCAAGGCCATCTGCTAGCAAGGGGTCCAAGCAGGCCCTCTGGCTGGGCCCAGAGCCAGACAACGCGATGGCAGGAATGAGTCAGATCTGCTCCAAGCCTCTGTCCTCTACAAGGGCATTCTCAGAACATTTGATACCAACTTGGCTCCCTCTGTCAGGGCCTCCCTCCTCCAGGAAACCTCCCGAACTCCCCACCTTCCTCCAGCCTGGCTGGCCCTGTCCCAGGCCACCCTGCAGGACCTTTGCTGTTCCACTGGGAAAAAGGCCAAGACCCTCAGGAAGGAACTGATCGCAAGAGACTGTCAAGAGTTGGGGGAGGTGGTAGTGTCCCTGAGAAGGATCCTGGCTTGGTTGAGGAGACTTGACTCATCTGGGAGGTCTTCCTGGAAGAGGGGCCCAGAGCAAAGTCGTTGGCGTCCCAGCGGAGGCACAAAAGCCTCAGCAGCAGTGAACATTTACCAGACAGAGAGGAGGGAGGCCTGGCTCTTGCTCAGCATGTATCGACAAAGAGGAGATGTGTGGTTGGGGACACAGGGGTCCCCAGGCTCTGGAGGCCTCAAATGCCAGGCAGGAGTTTGCCCTTACATCCAGGGACCATGAGGAGCCACTGGAGGGCTACAGCAGGGGCTAAAAGCCTCCCAGATTGGAGGAAGAAAACTCTCCCTGAGGCTCAGAAAGCACTGGGCATCTTGGCCTGAATTCACCTTCTAACTCGGGGCTCAAGTGCAAATGCTGTCAGGTGCAGTTCATAAGCTCCTCCTGCTGCCCCTCCCTGGCCCCGCTGAATGGACTCATGCCCGTGCCCTGGCAGTTCCTGGTTTGGCAGTCTGTGAGTCTAATATAAATCCTTCCAGCTGCAACCCAAATGCTGTCTTCAGGGGCATGTGAGGGTGAGCTGCTGGCTCTTTATTCCCACTGAGCTGCCCTACTGGGACAGGCATTGCAGGGAAGGC